GCTGTGGGGCCTGTGCAGGGGAAGGCAGCCCAGCCCGGGGCTGCGGCACCCCGAGGGCCGGTTTTGCCGGCGTTTTTCCCTTGGGCTGCGGGTGTCCGGTTTGTTCTGAGATGCCTTCAGCTGCGGAGCAGGTGCGGAAGGGGAGGGAGGAGGCTGAAGGTTGTGGGTAAACGCCAAGAGCTGGTGGTGTGGTAACTAAAGGATCACCGCTGCAACCCGAGCAGGAGAATGAGGTGTGAAACGATGGAGGAATGGCTATGGAATATCAGCCAAGTGGTTTATTGCTACTGCTAGTGACGTTTAAAGTAGCTGTAATGCTGAAATGCTTCAGGATGGCATGAAAGTTGTGACGTGCTTGCATAGCACTTTATTAATCGCAAGTCTTGTTTCCACATTCCTTGTAGTTCATCTGAAACTGGACGAAAGAAGAGAATGGATATGGGGAACCAACACCCATCCATAAAACGGTTGCATGAAATACAGAAAGAAGTCAAAGAGATTGAACAGCAAGTGGTTGTCTTCAGTGGTCTGCCTACTGATCGAGATTACAAGAAGTTAGAAAGGAGTCTTACTAAACAGCTTTTTGAAATAGATTCTGTAGACACCGAGGGAAAGGGGGATATTCAGCAAGCCAGAAAGCGAGCTGCTCAGGAAACAGAAAGGCTGCTTAAGGAACTGGAACAAAATGCAAACCATCCACGCAGACTGGAAATAGAGGCTATATTCAAGGAGGCACAGTCACTTGTGGAACGCGAGATTACACCTTTTTACAAAGGAGGTAATTGTATAAGTGACGAATTTGAAGAAGGTATTCAGGACATTGTATTGAGGCTTACCCAGGTGAAAACTGGAGGGAAAGTTTCCTTACGCAAAGCAAGATACCGCACTCTGACAAAAGTATGTGCTGTTCAGGAGATTATAGAAAGTTGTGTAAAACAACAGCTGTCCCTGCCACTCTCTAATGATGCACATCCTTCTGTCTCCAAAATTAACTCTGTAATGTGTGATGTGAACAAAGCGAGAGGAACTCTTATTGCGCTTCTAATGGGAGTGAGTAGTAATGATACCTGCAGGCATCTATCCTGTGTGCTTACAGGCCTCATTGCTGATTTGGATGCTTTAGATGTCTGTGGTCGCACAGAAATAAGGAATTACAGAAAGGAAGTAGTGGAAGAGATCAATAAACTGCAGAAATACCTGGACTTGGAAGAAGAAGCAAATTCTACTCATGCTTATGATTTGGCACAAAATCAATCCATTCTAAAAATAGAAGAGATCCGCAAGAAAATGAAGGAAGTTAATTCTTTACTTTTAAAAACAGAGAATGCTTCCGATTTATATTTGGGATCCAAAGCAGAATTGCAGGGATTAATTGCTCACTTAGATGAGGTAAGTCCGGGAAAAAACCCTTGTATTAGAGAAGCCAGGAGAAGAGCAGTAATTGAAGTTCAAACTCTCATAACCTATATTGATTTGAAGGAAGCGCTTGAAAAAAGGCAAATGTATCCTGAGCAAACTGCTGCCGAACATCAGTCTCATAAAGCAGTTTGGACTGTTCTTGGAAACCTGTCTCAAATTCAGCAGGAGGTGATTTCATTTGATGGAAACAGAACGGATAAAAATTACATGAGGTTGGAAGAACTTCTTACAAAACAACTTCTAGCACTTGATGCTGTTGATCCACAAGGTGACGAGCGGTGTAAGGCTGCCAGAAAGCAAGCCGTAAAGCTTGCGCAGAATATTCTTTACTATCTGGACATGAAGACAGATGAATGGGAATACTGAAACAGCTGTGGCCTAACACAGAAGAACATTTTTTTTCCTTTGGCACTTTATGCAGATCATTGGCAGCACATAATAAAAGTGGTGTGTTCTGTGCTTGCTTAAATCACAGAGATTGCATAAGCAGTTGACTTGGGTATATGTCTGCTAGCCCACGCAGTCACCCACTTGCCATGGCAACTGTCAGTACACCATCAGCAATTCTGGTCATTGCTATAAGCAAAGAAGTGTGATTCTCTGAAGGAATGGCTTAATACTTGATCAAATGGCTTCTTTATTTTCCTGTTTTTGTTTTAATAACTGTGCAATGTTCAGTGAATGCAGATTTTTTAAAGATGCAGAAACTTCCTTATGGTACAGTACTGGCAAAACTATTTAAAGACGACTGGACATGAAAATTAGTACTCAAGCATGAGGCTCAATCCAGCAACTTCATAGCAATCTGGATATACTCTTAATGTGCTGTTACAAGAGAAAGTATTAAGGGCAAAAAACCTGCTGCCTCTTGGGTTGTGCCTGATTTATTCCATCCGTCACACCTTTCTGGGTGTTTAGATTTCTCAGTTCATGGAGCTGTAATGCCAACTGCAAATTAGCATTTACATAGGCAAAGCCAATTATGTCTATTTTTTGTAATGCTTGAGCCCTCTGATATGCAAAAACAGGTCTTTTGTTGGTGGAAACTCTTTCAAATTATTGCTTTAAGGTACTGAGACTTGGAGAGGAGAATCTGTACATATATACTGACCAGATAAATGGGATTTCGAGGATTTCACACTGCCATCCATAAACCCCTGAAAGCTGCAGTGAATTTTACTTAGTGGCTGGTTAGGTGTCTTTTTAAACTCTGTTGTTAGATCTGGTTTTGACTTTCATATTCAGTGAAAACAGAATTTACTTTGACGTGAACGAGCATTTTGGAATTATTTTTGTAAAGTTAGGTAGCTGCCTATAAAGATGTCCCTAATGATGTAAATGCGTGTTGTATATTTCATACTGGTCAGGTGTGGCATAAAGCATGTCTTGGAAAAGACTTGTGGCAAATGTCTCTCCTCACAACTCATCACTTAATTGTTTTAGTAACTTTGTAAATAAGCTTGCTTGTACTATTGTATGCACCTTCCTTTTTATTTGTGGCTGCTAGTGCCAATCACATTTCTACTATAGCATGTTTTTTGGCATTTTTTTGAGAGCATGGCATTAAAGTGAATTAATTATAAAGGTATAATGGATTATGGATACTTTGCACTTAGCTCTTTCATGTTGGATTAATGGATTATTGTTCTACAGATGATGATTTGCACCACTTTAAGGAGTAAAAACCATTTCGGATGTTAAAATAAATATTTTTAGATCTATTTTTGACTGACTAGGGAAGACAGTACTGTCTGAGAGACAAGTGCCTTTGTGACACCACTAACTTGCACCATCATATGTAGATAGGAACTGTTTACTGGCAGCTTAGTACGTTTGTAATCTTTGCAAACTGGATTTCTCACATACATATAATTCTACTATAATATATGTCAAATTAATATGATACAATAGGTGACAGTTGTTCTACAGAGCCCTGAGAATTAGTATCAAATTTTGGAAATACGGATTCTGCTTAAAAACGAATGCATTGATGTGGAGATGGGGGACTTTGGGCAGGTCTTCTGTGCCCATTGCTACAAGAAGGAGAGAATATGTTTGCTGCATAACATGCTTTGAGATGTTCATGAAAGGTTGTGTAACTTCAGAGTGTGAATATATTTTGTTTGTGGTTGTACAGGTGATTGCTTTGCAAATTTACTTGCCAAAACCAATCTGTTTTTTCAATTGAGTACAGTGTCTAAGGCACAATTTGGCAATGACACAATGTTTGTTGGAGGATTCTCGCTGCTCCTTCAGAGATAGAATCCTGTTGAATTTATCTCTCCTTACCTCAAAAAAATCATTTGCCCTAGTTAAAATTCCAATCCATGTGGCTAACACAGAATATTAATAATGCTAAACACCTGAATTATTTTAGTCATTTCAAGCTTTCTACATGTTTGAACTGCAACTTCTGATTTGCACTTACATTTTTAGGAAATCTAAGAACTTGGTAGCGTAATGTTATTATTAATTTTTCTTTAGTGTTACTGTCAGATCTGCAGTGGTTATTTGTAGATTGTTTAACAATTTAGTGTCTGTTATGCGTAGCTTTATAAATGTTTGAACCTCTTACATAAAAATGAGTTAAGTATAGTTTGCAGATCTGTTCGATTTTAAATTTGTATGTCTCTGCTTTTCTGAATGTATTGTTACACCTGCGTCTCTAAGGAGTCAAACGTATAAGGTTAGTAATTTTGACTGAGTAGAGTTCAGTAGCAAGATACAGTGTGGATTAAGCTTTTTTCCATTGGTGGACTATTTAAATTTTTTGGTAAAATCCTCATCTGGAATGGGATTCATTCACAGTTTTTGCATGAATGCAAATAATAAACTAAATATGCTTAACCAAAAAAATAATGCACAGATTTCTCAAAATCTTGCTTTTGTGCTGAAGAATGTAATTTCTCTGTTTTTTATATCCAAAGATTGAGGGACGCACAACTTTTCTTTCTGATATAGCAGGCTAAAATAATCAGGAAAATGTAAATGGACCAAATTGCAAAGGCCTGCATTTTAGTACTATACTGAAATATAATAACTTTTCTGTGTGCTGTGTAATCTACCTTAGAGGAAAAGAAATTATTAGATATTGGAGGGAGAGGTAATCCTACATTGTGATTCCTATTTGTTAATTCTATTTCTTTTTAAACTAGTTTTCTTTAGTTATTTCAGTGTTTATTTTTTGTTTGCCACTCAAAGTGTGTTTTCTATGTTTCCAGTTTGGAGGAGATTTTTGTTAAGTATGGTTCCTACTTTTTAAATTTAATAGAAATTAGTCTACGTGCTCCTTATGGTGTGTATGTCCTGATTTATTGCTGTGTAGGATATGGCATTTGTATATACAAGTTCAAGATTAAATATTGCAGTGTTATATTCTTGATTATTAATAAAAATACATTACTACCTTTTAGTAGGTATTCCTTTGAATGCTATGCCCTGCTGCCTTTCTCGGTTTATTTTTGAATGTGAGTTATCAGAATGTAAATTATTTTTGTCTTAGAAAAAGTGTTTTTATTAAATACATAGACATAAAGCTCTCTTCCCCCCCCCTTTCTTTAAAAGTTTGCTTTTCTACTGCTGTATTTATGACAATAAAATTCTTTGCGTGGAAACCACTCCTACCTCTGCTTGCTAATTCTGATGCCTTTTGGTTCTCTCTGCATTCAACCTTGCTTTACAGTGATTACAGCAGTCGTTGCTTGCATTCTTTCTTCAGCGATAGCCTTGGAAACTCCTGGGCTTCAGCTGGATGATCACTGCGAAAATGCTCATGGCTGTTTTAATATCTTGCCACTTTTTTGCTGAAGGATGCTGCCTTAACAGATGAGCTTGCAGAACTGATGGTATGAAGTCTCTTCATGTGCAAAATCACTGTGGATTAAAGAACCTTTAGTAGGACTTGAACTCATCTGGTTTTACACTGTGCAGAGGAGACATGTTCACATGATTGTTCTGATGGCTCAGTATGTTTTCTCAAGATGCAGTGAGCCAAATGATCAGCTCACTTGCTGATGGAAATCAGAAATTCTGTTTCTGCCCAGAAAGCTGCTGGCTTTGTGCAGTTTCTGCTGCTTGGCCAAGTCCTATGAACTGATTTAATCCAATAATTTTTAACAGGAGAAAACAAACTTAACAAAAACAGGGGAGGGAGTTTTCTGTGGGTTTAGTGAGTCAAATCGGCTTGTAGAAAAGCCTGGTATAGGCCAGAGCTACTGCAAAATGAATGGGTGGGTCATGAGGCCATGGGTTAAGGAACAAGTTTTAAGATTTTCAGTAGCAGTAAGTCATTATTAGATCAACCTTCTGCACCATTAAATCTCTGGAGGAGAAAGAAGGAAAGAAGGTGGCACTATCAACTCCTACAGACAAGTAGGAATTTGCTGCTTTAGTAGTGGGATAGGAAGACGGCAATACAAATGAATTCTGTATAGAAAATAAACCAGTTGCTTTCAATTGCTCTTTTGTGTTACATAGTAAGTGTTCATGCAGCAAAAAGCACAAGTGATCACGTCGAAGTACTATAGACAATCTGGAAAAGTCTTACCCAGAAGACACCGTGTAAGAATAAGGTTTGTAAAGGTTGAATGTTCCTATACAAGTTCACTGTATCTTCTTTCTGTCCCTTTTAACAATATAGCTTATTTGAAGGGAATCTATTCTTCAAAGACCAGTAAATCATCTGGGCAATGGCCCTAGATGTTGCTCAGCTAGCTGCTGACCTGTTTGTCTTGATCAGCTGTTTACTCGTCAAAGGAGAGAATTTGCCTTGCTAAGAATTTTGTGCGTGTGTGTTTGAGACAGACAGATTTTGGTGCCTGAAATAAATAGTTTAGCTGGGAAAATTCTGTATTTTGTTTCCATATAGATGTATCCTCTCCTTTGAAGAATTCTCAGCTGAGAACTTGAAGGAGTAGAAGGACTTTAGTACTGAACTCATGGATTGAAGGCCTGGAGGGTGAAGCTGGCTGCCAGCAGGAGACATTTAAATGTCAGGATCTGTGGAAACATTCCTGCTAGAGGAAACTGCTAGCAGAGACACGACCCAGTGTTCAGAGCTGATGTTTTGAGTGAGCTCTGTACCTGTTCCCCTGTTGCGTATGAGCTTTCATTGGGAAAGTGGACTCTTGGCGTAATATTCCCTGACCTACTGTCAGCCTTTCTGTTTTAGATGAAGCTGAGAAATTACATTTAAAGCTTTTGCTAAGCTACAGTGGGGCATGTAGTAGTTGTTGGCTGGTCTGGATATCATTCTGGCTTGCTACATGAACCAATTATGCTTAATGCTTTCAGTTATATTAGTAGGCATGTCCGTGTCAGCTGAAAGCTGGTCATCAACTGAAGAAGCTGAGGATAAGGTGTGCTTTTGTTGAAGGCTTTGCACAGCACACGCTTACCCTTTCTCTCTGCAACATTCGGCTCTGAGGACTGCCAAACACAGATGAATGCATGAGTTGCACTCCTTGTCAG